GGCACATAACAACAACAATGAAATACAGTGCAGAGCATATTTTTACTTCTACAATTTCATCAATCATTCAATCTTATGTTTAAAAACTTAACACTTATTCTTCTGAAACATTTTCTTTGAAGAATTCTGAAAATTTTTCTTTTCTAACATGTCTTTTTAAAAATATCTCATTACCCATTTGCTATTTGTAAACACCTTTGAGATTATCTAACATAATCAAGTTATAATTACTGCAAATATCAGAGTTTAGAGCAATTTTGATATCATCTGTTTTTAAGAACTCTAACTGTTCTTGCACAAATGCAACTTAATCTTAAGAACACAAAAATCTAAATGATCTAAAAATCTGTGTACTTTAATGAGAAGGGACAGAATGATAAAAAAGTTGTTAAAAAAACTAAAAGAGCTAGCCAAGTATAGACAATATTGATACTTAAAACAGAACTTCTAAAAACAGTGAACACAAGAAAATAACAGTCCATAAGCCTAGTCTTATTGTTGCTCATAGTTTAAGAGACAAATCATTTAAAATAGATTCTGAAACAAAAGTAAACTACAGTCATAAAGTCAATAGCATAGTGATGTGCCCAAAAGTTGTAAAATCTAGAATGAAGATGTGCTAGTTACCACAGAGTACATTAAAACAATATCTGCCACATTTCAGGAGAATTATTGCTACTACCTACGGATGGTAACTCCAAAAATGGGTACTCTTGCTGTTGCTGCTGTTTCTAAGAGAAAAAGAAGTTGGGGACTACATGAAAGAATTTATGTAGCCATACATATGTGTATGTCTCTGTATCTGTGTATTTATATTTACACACACACTAATACAAGCCAATTTTCTAAACTTCTCTTATTTAATCAATATACTAAATTAGATGAAGGGAAAATGTGTAACTCTAACCTAGTTGGATATTGAAAGAAGTCTTTACTATATAAAATCATTATGATGTTTCACACCGTAAAAATGTTAGGCCAAAAAGTTAAGACCAAAAGTATTTCTGGAAACAGTACAACTGAGTATATAGAGGGAAAAAATATAAAGACAGACTTAAACTTTCTCTTATCATCTTATTAATGTAAAGATAGATTTAAACTTTTACTACTGTATAAAGGCAATAATAGATTCAGACTGTATACACAATATCCATTACTACCAAAACCCAAAAATTTTTAGTGAATCAAATAAAATAAAATATAAATGTCTTTTTGCCTATTATATTGTTTTTAACATAAAGGACTCTTCATTTCCACAGAGGTTATATAGATACATTTTATCATTTAAAGAATACAAAATTAATTGGGAGGGTGCGGTGGGCAAGGAGAAAAAAAAATACAAGTCATTTATCATTGAAATAAGATAAAAAAGATCTATCGTTCACCACAAAAATACCTTTTACAAAGGTATTAGTATTATGAACATCAAATTTATTTACTTTAAATTCTTATATGAATAGAATTCATTCTTAAGTATTTAAAGTATCTTATTAGTAACAAGCTAAATTAGCTAAAAAGACACAGTTTGTTCACCATTATTTGTTGTATCATTATTTATTACTTGCCTATAAAGTACTGCTGGAAGAGTAGATGCTTTTTGTGTGCCTCCTTCTTTTTTACTTGGCTTTCTCTCTTTCGGTGCTCGTAGAATTGCCGGTATGTTCAACTTCTATTGATTTAACAAATGTAGTTTATTTTGTTTTAAGGAAGAAATGGAAGTGTAAAGCAAAATTTTCAACTGCCACTTGGGCCAACTCATTATGCTTTATACTCTGAAGGAAAAACACGGCTTACCAGCTATTACACTGGCAAAAATATATTACAATGAGTTTTTATCTTTTACAGGTACTTCCATTAGCAACCTATAATTACATACTTACAACAATTTCAGTGGAATGATAAGGTATTACTAAAATTAAATTTCTACTTTAGCTTTAAAATGTAAAAGACAGGAACAAACGTTTCAGAAGTGGAAATAAAGAAAGAAAAAAAATACAGTAGATTTGACAAAAAGAATATCGAGGCCGTTTATTTTCCTCAACAACCCAGATACGTTGGTGCTCCATAGGTTAATTAGAAAAATTATCTTATTGGACCAAAGTCTCCACAAAGCGTACAGATTCTCTTTGGGTTTCCACTAATCTGTAGTATTCTAGCTTCTTAGACAGCAACCATCTATCAAAGTCATTTCTCTGTAGCCCTGTAGGCCAGCATCTGTTCAACCAACTGGAAAAAAGTGTCATGCAAGCAGTACAAATGAATTCTATTTCTGCTGTGTATTTTACATTTGCACAGGAAATTTGTGAACCTCTACTGAAAGTAATTTAATAAATGACAATGCTTTTGTATAGTAGATAATGTTTTATACGAAATAGGACATTATTATGAGATCAATTTGCAAACCAAAACAAAAAAAAAATGATGCAAGCTTGGCAAACAAACAAGTAATGAGCTTGAATTCAGCATCAACTATTTTAAATATAAAATATGAGATATCACATTCTTCTAAAAAGTTCATCAACAATATGTCAACAGGAGAAAAAGCCAATTCTTCCATAGGCAATTACACATTCATGCCTTTTAAAATTCATTATGACTTCAAGCTACATACACCCTTGTACACAAAAGCTGCATTTTTAAGGCTTGTAAAGGCACAATATAAACAGTATGCATTACTTCCTAAAATTATAGACACACACACACACACACAATCACACATTATATGTATTTAACTCTGAAATTCTGAAACAAGTACAATGAAAATGTCTGTAGTATAAAAAGCTTCCCTCACAAACAATTTGTAGTCAAAGGACCATAAAACAATGGATCTTTGGTATTCTTTAAAAGTGGAGCTAAAGTTACATGAATAAATTCTCAATTTATCAATTACATGTTCAGTATGCTGAAAAGATCATTCCACAAAGTAATCACTTGGCAAAGATTACTGTTTTCAACACCAAAACTTTTAATGTTATAAAAAATGTTCAATGATAGTATTTTTTTTTAATTCATGACTACAATAAATAACTACTGCTGGAGGTGAAAAACTATAAAGTTTCAAAAATTGTCTCTTTGATAGCATAACTTGAAAACGTAACTGTTATCTTTTTAAATTTTACATCTAAATTAAAAAGAAGTATGTATAGCACAAGAATAGGACATCAGGAAAAAAATATGGCAGAGACTCTAAAATTACTGGATTGAAGAAGAAGGTAGTAGGAATAAGTTATGCTTTATATGTTACCTTCATCACAAATGACAGGTCAACCAGTTAGACCAAATGAAAATAAAAATTTGCAAACAAGATAGCTGTTAAAATAACTGAATTAAGCTACAGATTCTCAGTAGGCAGCTTACAATGCTCTCGATGTAATTCAGGAAGAAATCATTATCCCCAGAGGATTACTTGGCCCTGATCAAACATAATTCTTCAATTAGTAAAAGTGACAGTTCTATCAGGAATCTGGTCTTTGAAAATTATATAGGAAGCAAGAAGAAAACGAGACAGATATTGAAAAGAAACTAACCTGCCCTGTGATTCTGCCTAGTAAGGCCCATATTCCTTGCCCTTCACTTCGAAGTTTTCCATTTAGGTTCTGTAGTTCTTCTAAAGATTCACACAGCTACAAAGTAAGTTTCTATTAGTAAATTTCATTGAAATGAATAGTAAAGTACATTAAAATTTAAATTACATATCAATTAATGTTAAAAATACCAACATTTATATTGTGTATTCTCTATAAATACATTCAAGTTGACAGCACTGAGAATAAGGCTATACAATTATTTAGCAGAACCAACAAAATGTAAGGTTCTACCTGTTTTATGCTAGTATATATATTAATTAAAATTACATATTTTATAGTCCTTTATCATTCACCATGTAATATTACATGCATCTGTTAATTAAGTTTTTGATCTAATGAAGATTTATTTCCATAATTTTTCCAATGAGATAACTAAAGATAGAATTTTTTTTGTGAATTGGTCAACATTACAGAACTAGAATTAGAACTGAGTCTAATTCCAGAACACTCTTCACTACAATGTGGCTGATTATAGAAACTTATTTCCTATTAATTTTTGTATCATAAAAATGTTTCTAACAGAGAGTGAATATGAGTGTCTCTTAATATCTTATATTTTAGATGTAGCTTGCTTTTACATTATTTTTTTCACTTCAACCTTCCATTATTAGAAATCAGTAGCCCAAACTGCAATTCAAGATGCATTAAAATGATTATTTAAAGATCAATTTCTAAATTTCTCTACAAACTTAAAAGGTAGAATTCTAGAGTACTGTATATTGGTTAGAAATAAAGACTGCTTGGTTTAAAATCCCAAGTTCTATGATTTAATTATCTATATGAATCTGGACAAATTCTTTAAACTCTTTATTATCTCAGTTCCTTCTCTAAAAACAAAAGTAATAATCATAACGTATGTCATAAAGGCTAAAGAGGAAATTAACTGAGTTAATACACATTATTGCTCAGCATTGTACCTGGCACACAAAAAATGTTCAATAAATGTTAGGGGCAATACTGAAGATAATAAGGGAAGGATTGTAGGGAAAGGCACAAAAGCCCTAGAAATTAAAAACTAATACACAGAAATGACATAAAATTATAAAAAAAATCACCAACAGTAACTGTTACATGATGTAATTTGCTTTATAATCAACTCACCTTATTATACTCCACATGAAGCTTTTCTTGTTCATTCTCTAATTTATCCTTTATATTCTTCTGTTCAGCCATATTTTCCTGAATTTGAATCATGCGCATATTTCTCTCTATTTAAATTAAATATCCAATTTTACTTTAGTGGGAAAAAAAGTAAAAGCTAATATACAAAACACACAAAGGATGAAGCCATTGAGATAAGCCCATGTGTAAACTTACACTGTTTCAAACATGCCTAAGACTATTAAAAAAGGCATTACAAGCCTAGCATTTACAACAACTCACAACTTATTAGGAAAATGGACATGCTTTTATTTGATAAATATAACTTGGCTAAAATATTTCTAAAACTTAGCAGCATATCACATACATTGATCAGAAAAGTGATCTATTCAAAGTTACATGTATGAGTGTATATACTAACCAAAATAATAATTGACAAAATCAGCAGTGAGAGCAGGTTGTTTATGCTTTCTCCTTCCATCCACACTAGAACTAGTATCTGAATTGTCCACTGGGAAGATATCTGTACTGATCCCCATTAGTTCTGCTTTCCGCATCAGTTTACGAATTGCTGAAGCACTACTAGTGAGTGGTCGGGGCAGTTTTTCCCTGGGAACCCAGGCTTGTGGCCTTGTAGACCGAGCTAGCTCAGCTTTGGCTCGATATTGTTGAAGCCGGGCATTGATCCTCGCCTATAAAAGAAATGTATACAAACTTAAAAGACATTAAATAGAATGAATGCCTTATGATTTTTATTTCCAACCTCAAGACTGTAGAGATTAAAATTTCCTATAACAAAGACATATTATATATATTTCAACACTGACAGTACAGTGTGTAATTCCTTATGGTAAATTAAATAACAGCTGTCCTAGTCTAGGATCAAAATCTTGTGAAAACAATGTGATTATCCTAAAGTTTCACAGGAACTCCAAGAGTCTCCATAAATATACTCAAAATAATTTAAATAGGTAAACTGATCAAATTCTTTCATAAATGAACACTGAAACAGACTAAAAAATTACGTATTGTGCATAAAGTAATGACAAAGTAATTCTGTAAGTAATTTTTTATTGTATTTGGAAACATTATTTATAAATGTCTGTTCTGCTGATTAGATGAAGAAAACTGTATCAGCTATAAACTCTACTCATCAGCTAAAGACAGTTTATTTTCGGGTAGCTAACTGAACTGCGTAATTACGCTTTATGTGTCATTGAAAACCACAAACGGGTTCTGAATATAAAACTCTGAAAGGAAAAACAGAAGAATTTGGACATAATCATACCTGTGCTTCTGGTGATAGCTGTTTCTCTCTTTCTTGTAACGACATTTTACAATAGGATTGTAGAGCCAAGTAATTTTTTCTCTTCCATTTTCTGTCTAACCTATCTGCATGCTGTTTACAATAAGCAAAAAATGGATCTGCTATATCCTGGACCAAAAGAAAAAAGGGGAGGGGGAGAACATAAACATTTTTACTCCTAAGGATCAAATGAAACCTAAAATAAAAGAGTAGTATTTCCTTTTGAGATTTTTTACATTGTTGGTTTTTTTTGTACATAAATATTTTTAATATAACATTCATGCAACATGAAAAATAATTTTCCTTTAGAAACGTCACACTCTTATTATCAACTAACTTCAAATTACCTACCTCAATGTAACAATTCTTTTCTAAAGGCCTTCTCTTTTAAAGGATTTAAAAATATTTTTAAAAGTATGAAGCATATTGTGGGGTACATAACTATTATCTAACTTTATAAAAAAAACAAATACTTTGTAAAGATGTTGAAGTCCTTGAATAATGCAATAACTAAAAACCTGACTACTATCCAAAAGGATGGTAATTCAAACCCAATCGTAGGTACTGGCAACCTGCTTTCAAAAGAGCACGACCTTGAACATAGGTAGGGTTTCTTTGAAATGCAATGGATTCAACAGTAAATAAAATTAAAAAGTACTCCACAGGGTTGCAGAGTTTGGTGAGTGGAGGGGACAGTGGGAAGGAAATCGGAAGGATCCAGGTGAAAAGGAAGGTAATGACAGGCAAGGCCAACAGTGATCAATCTTATAAAAAAATAATGCATGAGAATGATTCTATGAAACACAATGTAAAAGAAGAATAGTATGAAATAAAATGTATATGAACTTTGTAAACAAGCTAATTTTCTTTTTCTATAATTATATTTTATTAATTTTCATAAACATTTACAGAGATTTTGGGCTTCCACTCATTCATTGTTGCACTATTCTCTCTACCCTCCTCCCAGTTTGTTCTTGTCCAAATGCCACAGTGCTTGTCAAAGCCAGTTCTGATTAATCTTCTTTGTCTGTGTGTCCTTTGCCATTCCCTATCACTCCTCCCTGAGAGAGACTTCACCCTGAGTCATAAGGAAAAGGGGATGGCGTATTCTCTTAGCTACTTCCTGCTGAAAAGGGACGCTGTGGGTTTCAGGGTGAAGATCTTCTCTCACTACTCTAAAGGGCCCCTTTGGCAGTAGGAAACACATAGACTATTATGGAGATTGATTTTGGAATTTAGATGCACTCTTATTGATTGTGCTTGCAGGCGCTGAACCGACAAGCTAATTTTAAAAATACAATAAATAAACAAAGTAGTCAACAATGTAACTGCTGACCAAATGGCAAAAAGTCCATTTTTTGGGCATGTCCAAGGAAGAAAACTAAAGATAAACTACACACTTTTCTTGGCTAAAGTATGTTAAAGGGATTGCTTATATAAGGCTCTGAAACCCAAAGAAAATGGCCAACCAGATAATAAAGAATAGTGTAAAAAAAAGACAATTCTTAATAAATATTCAGAGATGTCAAAGTATAGCACTGTGGATAAGATTACAGAAATTTGTTACATAACATGGGTGAGCCTGGAGGGCACTATGTTGAGTGAAATATCTCAGTCACAAAAGGACAAATACTGTATCAACACCACTGTTACAAAACAGGACTGGCATGGGGGTTGGAAGGAGAATAGGAAGAGTAGATAGATAATGAACACTACATTGGAATAGATGAGGGGGAAAATGGTCCAAAAGGAATATATTATTCGGTGTTATATGTATGACAACCAACAGGAACAAGAGGAGAAATGCAAAATGGACTGGGGGAGGGACAAAGGAGAGAGGGAAGAAAATGTACAACAATGCATGAATAAAAATTTTTTTAAAAAAAAACATTACAGAAACCGAAGACTATAAAATCTAGATGCAAATTCTAATCCTACCACTTACTAGCTATAAGACTTCAAATAAGGTCTCCAGAGTCTGTTACCTAATTAGAAAAATGAGTATTGATAACATTTTTCCCATGGTTATAAGGGCTTTTATAAGAACTTTAGCATATAAGTAGGAGAGTACATTAACATATACACCTACTTTCTTTTTTTTTTAATTTAATAATTTTAATGAACATTTACAGAGATTTTTGATTTCCATTCATTCATTGTTGCACTTTTCTCCCTGCCCAGCCCTACCCCCTTCCCCCCCTCACCCCAGTTTGCCCCTCTTTGAAAAGTAAAAGAAAATTCTTTCTTTGATATATAATCCCCCGGCACCACTCCCACTGCCCAAGTACACTCCACTATGAAACCTTAATTGTGGACTCTTATGATAACCATAATACCCTATCATACATCGCTTTTAAATTATTCTTTCCCTCATCTGTTTCAATGCAGTAGACATGTTTTAAATCTCAAGAGTTATTAAGCAAGTATAAGGAGATACTTAATATTTCAAAATAATCTCAAAATTCATCATAAAATTCATGAATCTCAAAATTCATGATAAAATTATCAAGATAATTATCTCATTGGTTTTAAAGTACATGAGGTTGATAGTGAGTGAAAAAAAGACAATACATATGCTTACAGAAGTAAGCTGAGTATTAGACCCAGACTTTGACTTAGTTCTTCTGATATATGTCACCACAAGGATAAATCTTGAAAACATTATGCTATAAATGAAGTGAGTCAGCCACAGAAGGAATAAGTTTCACTTATATAAAATATCTAAAATTGACAAATGCATCAAGACCCAATAAAGTTTCTGGACGGCAAACATAGGCCCATAAAGAAAGAAAATGAGGAGTTAGTGCTTAATGGGTAATTCTGTTAAAAGTGATAATAAGAAAACAAAAGGGAAAAGATAGTCATGATGGCATCCTAAAGACATCGGTTGACTTGAACTACCCCTTTAACCTGCTTCAGAAAACTGTGATGGTTTATGTCAAGTGTCAGCTTAGCTCTAGGCCAAGATACTTAGTGGTTTAGGAAATAAATATACAATCACTCTCCATTCTGTAATGTGATATGAGCAGCCAATCAGTTGTTATTGTTGTTAGGTATTGTCAATATAAGTACAACCCACAACAACCCTACAAACAGCAGATCTGAACACTGTCCTCTCCTGTGTTATCCTCACAGTCTCTGACACACTCAAGCCCATTGCTGCAGTCACTGTGTCAGTCTACCTGGTTGAGAGTCTTCCTCTTGATGGTCTTCCACCCCTTTTCTGTCCCCTAAACCTTTCAAAGTGTGATGTCCCTTCTCCAAGAAATAACCTCTCCTAGCAACATGCCCAAAGTAGGCTGTCAGTATTTCAGCAAAAAGATTGCTGGTCTTTCTCCAGCAGAGCAGCTGACCTTTTGATAAGCAGATCAACTGGTAATACCACACTACACTGGGGATGTGGCCTACAGTCAATGGATCTGGATGCACTCTCTTTCTACCTATCTTCCATTCATCTCATCATCTTTTGATCTCAATTACTGAATACAAGCCAGCAGCCTGTTGACAGTCCATGGGATGTTCAATACTCTTAGCTAGCACAAGTCAAAGGCACTGATTCTTCTTCTGTTATTCTTAGTCACTGTCCAGCTTTTGGACATCAAAACAAGCAACTGAGAAGAGGGAGACCTGGATCAGCCGTACCTTAATCTCTAGACTGACATCAATGTTCTTTAGCACTCTGGGAAGGTTCTTGACAGGAGAGTCTCCCAATAACTGTGCTCTGATTTCCTGACTGCTGGTGTCAGGGATGTTGACTGGATGTGGATCCAAGCAATATGAAATTGTTATTAATCTTAATCTTTTCTCCATCCATCATGATGCCACCTGTTGGACTGATGGTGAAGATCTTTGTTCTCTTGATGTTGAGATGCAATCTGTATTGAAGACTGTAGTCCTTAATCTCCTGCAGCAAATGTTTCAAGACCTCCTCTAAGTTTCGGCAAGCAAGGTAGTGTCATCTGCATAACATAGGTTGTTGATTAGTCTTCATCCAATCCTGATGCCTTCATCATAAAGTCCACCCTCCTCAATGACCTCTTCAGTATATAGATTGAAAAGGTATGGTGAAAGGATACATTCCTGACACACTCCTTTCTTGATTTTGAACCATGCCGGTCTTCTCTTACTCTGTTCAGACAAGAACTTGATTGAGGTATAGGTGTTACATGAGCATTCCTATCAAGTGTTCTCAGATCACCATTCTTCTCAACATTATCCATAATTTGTTGTGATCCACATAGTAAAATGCCTTTGCACAGTCAGTAAAACAAAGACAGATTTCCTTCTGGTACTCTCTGCTTTTAGATAAGATCCATCTGACATCAGCGATATCAGGGCCCCTAGTGCCATGGCCTCTTCTAAACCCAGCTTGTATTTCTGTCAGTTTTTTCCTGATGTACTGTTGCAGTAGTTTTTGAATAATCTTCAGTAGGATTTTGCTTGCGTGTGACATTAGTGATATTATTTGGTAATTTCCACTGTTCGATCACCTTTTTTGGGAATGGAAATACATACGGATCTCTTCTAGTCAGCTGGCCAGGTAACCGTCTTTCAGTTTACTTGCACAAAATGGTGAGCACATCCAGGGCTGTTATCTGTTTATTGAAATATGTCAATTGGCATTCTATCAATTCCTGGGGCCTTATTTTTTGCCAATTCCTTCAGTGAACTTTGAACTTTCTCCTTTATTATCACTGGTTCTTGATCATCTGCTATTTTCTGAAATGGTCTGTGTCACCCAATCAATTCTTTTGGTATAGTGACTCCATGTATTTATAGCATCTTTTTTTTTTCTTCCACTCATTCATTGTTGCATTTTTCTCCCCTCCCAACCCTCACCCCTCTCCCCCAATATGCTCCCCTCTTGGAAAAGTAAAAAAAAAATTCTTTCATTGTTTTACAATTCCTCCCCACAGGTCCACTCCACTATGCAGCCTTTGCTCTGGACTCTGGTCATGACAAAAATACCTAATGACATATCCCTTTTAAATAGTTTTCTCCCTCATCTAATTCAACACAGTATACATTATTTAACCCATCTTTCTCAGTCTCCCCCCAACCACAATGTCAGTCTTGTTTTATAACAGTGGCAGCATGCAGTATTTGTCCTTTTGTGACAAGAGATACTTCACTCAGCATAATGTCCTCCAGGGCACCCATTTTGAATAATATTGCATGAGTTACTTGTTTTTCAATGCAGCATAGTATTCCATTGTGTGAATATACCACAACTTCTCTATCCATTCACTTGTTGATGGGCACTTAGGTTGTTTCCAACTCCTTGCTATTGTGAACAATAAACAAGGGTGTGTATCATAACATCTTCTTTTGATGATTCCTGGATCAGTCACTATTTTGCACATAGCATCTTTTAAGTATTTCAACTGAAGGCTTGATTTTGTTCTTCAGTTCCTTCAGTGTGGGAAACACTAAGCAAGTTCTTCTCTTTTGATTTCCTGACTCCAGCTCTGCAGATTTCATTATAATATTTTGGTGTGTCTGCATGAGCTGCCCTTTGAAATCTTCTGTTTAATTTTTTAACGTCCTGATCTTCTCTCTGTTTTGGCTTCACGGTGTTCCAGTGCAATAGTCAGAATCTCTTCTGACATTTATTTAGATTATTTCCACTGTTGTTGTGTGGCGTCATCAATTCAAGTACAACTCATAGCAACCCTATAATTGCACACACATCTACTTTCAGTGTTAACTCAAATGTCGCACCTCTCTTAGTGGTTTGACTCAACCAGCTCTATGGGTAAAGGATGGGTAAGCTCTTCTGATGTGATTTAAAGCCCAAAAAACCTGATGGAGGGTCAACTGTAAGTCTGCTTTGAATTGAAAGCAATGAGTAAGTGAGTGAGTTACTGGGGGGAAAAAGTCTGCCCAATAAGACTGAAACTAGAAATTAGAAATGTTCCAAAACACTAGATTTATTTTAACTTAAAATTTTTACTTTAATTAATATGTCACTATGAGACATGCATTTTAATTTGCAAAAGAATAACCATGTAGAAAGAGTTGACACCTTCATGTTAACAGACTGATTACTGGTAATACCAGCCTTCATTAACACTGACTTACATAGTTGTGGATTTTCAAACACAGTTTAGAAACTTTTATCATTTTCTAATTTATAAACGTTTACAACAAGAAACTAAGAATATAAGTAAATTCCTAAAACAGTTTACCCCACACTACAAAAAAGTAATTAGCAAAGCAATGTGGTAGAGATGAAGTCTCATTTTATTACTCCAGCATCAAGAATTCTGGGGCTTCGTCTGACATGCTTTGGACATGTTGTAAGGAGGGACAGGTCCTTGGAGAGGGACATCATGCTTGGGAGGGTGGAGGTATGGCGCAAGAAGGAAAGGCCCTCTATGAGGTGGATTGATTCAGTGACTGGGGTAATGTGGGTAGGTGTGTCAGAGGCAGTGCAATTGGCACAGGACAGAGCAGGGTTTAGGGCTGTTGTACATAGGGTCGCTATGAGTCGCAAGCGATTCCATGGCACATAACAACAACAACAACAACATCAAGGATTTCTACTATCCTAATCTAGGAAGGTAGTAAGACAAGGTAGGCGCCTCAGGCTCCATTTCCACATCCGGATTTACTCTCCTCAGAAAATTTTCCCAGGTTAGCTCACAGACACAAACATAGAGAGCAGAGAGTATAAAATATTTATCAATTAACACCGCTTAGTTTGTTTATTCAAGTTCAATTTACATGTATTTAATTGGGTAGATGTTGTTGCTTTGTGCTGTTGAGTTGCCTGTGACTCATAGTGACCCTATATACAATAACTCTGAACCCTGCACTATCCTGACCCAATCTCACTCTCTCTTCCATACCTACCCTACCTTAACTCTAATCTTTAAACTCAACTACTTCTGGGTTATAAAATAATAAAGAGTAGAACTGACAAAGAGATACACATGGGGGAAGAAGGTCAATAACAGACAAAGAATTTTACAACCCTTAGTCCAGGAAAAAGAACTGATGGCAAATACTGGAAGCCTCCTAAACAGTGAGAAAAACAATTTGTGCTCATTAAAGACACTCAATATGCACTATATCCATGAAGATATCACTAAGTAACTAAGAAAATTCCAAAGAAATTATATATTTCTACACTTACAAGCTCCATAATAGAAATTGAAACAAATTTTTTTAGCAATAATTTATTTTAAAATAACAATAAAATCTATATGCAGAACAGATCACTCAGAAGGCTGGAATTTATGAGGAAGAATGTGGCATCAGGATTAGAGGAAACTCATCAACAACCTATGTTACACAGATGGCACAGCCTTGCTTGCTGACACTGAGGACCTGAAGCGCTCACTACAGAAGGTCAAGGACTGTAGTCTTCAATATGGACTTAAGTGTAACATCAAGAAGACAAAAATTCTCCCACTGGGCCAATTGGCAGCACCATGATAAATAGAGAAGAGACTGAGGTTGTTAACAATTACAGTTTGCTCAGCTTCACAATCAACACTTTTGGCACCAGCAGTCAGGAAATAAAAAGACAAATTGTGCTAGGAAAATCTGCAATCAGGGACGCAACAAAGTCAGCCTAGAGACTAAGGGGGTGCCTGATCCAGGCCATGGTCTTTGCAATTACTTGCTATGCATCAGAGAGCTGGACAATGACTAAGTATAACAGAAGAAGAATCGATGTGTTTGCGTGTGGTGCTGAAGAAGATCCTTGCACATATCACAGACCACCAAGAAAACAAGTAAGTCTGTAGTGGAGAGGGTGAAACTAGGTTTCTCCTTGGAGGCTAGGTTTTTAAAGCTCTGTCTCACAGACTGTGGGCACACGGCCAGGAGGGATTGGTCCATAGAGAGGGACATCATGCAAGGGGCATCATGGAAGGGTGTAGGGACAGAGCAGGAGAGGAAAACAACAGATGAAATAATTGCTACAGTAGCTGGGTTAATGAGAGTAGGTGTGTCAGAGTCAGTAAGACTGGCTCAGAAGAGGGCAGGCTTCAGAGCTGTAGTACTTAAGGGTCTCTATGAGTCATAAGTGCCATGACGGCACATAATAAAACAACAACAGCATGTTAACATACGAATTTTTTAAACAGCTATAATTTTAACAACAGATAACCTTGATAAGAATGGGAATTTCAAAATACTTAATTTGCTTATATGAAATCTATACTTAGTCCAAGAAGCTGTTATCCAAACAAAGCAAGAAACACTTTATGTTTTAAAACTGGGTAAACTGTACATCAGACTGTATTTAATCTGTACCTATTTAATCTATATGCTGAGCAAATCATTCGAGAATCTGTATTTTATGAACAAGAGTGTGGCATCAGGCTTGGAGGAAGGCTCCTCAACAACTTGTGTTATACAGAGGACGTATTCTTGCTTGCTCAAAGTAAGGAGATATAAAGTGCTTGCTCCAGCCTTCAATATGGATTACATCTCAACATCAAGAAAATAAACAATACTCCCTATTGGACCAACAAGCAGCACCATGATAGATGTAGAAAGATTGAAATTGTCAACAATTTCATTTTACTTGAATCCACAGTCAACACCCTTGATATGAGCAGTCAGGAAATCAGGAGATTTGGGGGGGAAAACAGCATTGAGAAAGGAGCACTGGGAAAGTTTGCTGTCAAGACTATCCAACGTCCTGAAGAGCAATCGTGTCAGTTTAAAGGTGCATGTTGTTGTTGACGGCCTTTGAGTCGAGCACGACTCATGGCAATCCTATGAAGAAAAGACTTGAAGCCCCTATACAGCTATAAACATTTATCAAAGTTCATCCAAAAGTTTCCAGAGGCATGTTATTTAGGAAATGGATGCCACTCCTGCATGATTCAAGCCAAAGGCTTTTCAACCACCTGCTATGTACCTGAGAGAGAGATAATGATTAAGGATGACAGGAGAAAAATGCATGCATTTGAGTTGCACTGTTAAAGAAAAGAACTGAATATTCCAAGGACTGCTCAAAGAACCAACAGATATATCTTGGACAAAGTACAGCCAGAGTGTTCCTTGGAAGCAAAGATGGTGAAATTCCACATCACATACTTTGAACTTATTGTTACAAGAGGCCATTCTTTGGAAAGAGACATTATACTTGGTAAAGTCAGCAGAGGAAGATGCTCAATGAGATGGGGTAAATACAGCTTCTACAGAAAGGGACTCAAATGTGTCAAGGATGATAAGGATGACACAGTATAGGATAGCGTTCAAATCTACTGTTCCTGGGGTCACTATGAGTCATATACAATGGTACTTAACAACAAAACAATTTAAAGTTTTAAAATATCTTGGATTATGCTGCACTTTCTGTATTGATTTTCACTATAAAAATTCTAATATGCTCTCTGAAATTTTTAATAGCGCTAGTAGGGATAAAACTTATTTTTAGTAATTATTTATTCTTGATGTCTCGGACCTCTGATCTAACTACAGATGTTTAGCAAGGAGAGAGTGTGTGTGTGTGTGTGTGTGTGTGTGTGTGTGTATACCATCAAAATGGATCTGACTGGTACAGGAGGAGATTGTCCCTCCTTCTCCAGCACAGCATCTGGTGGATTTGAACTGCTCACATCTGGGACTGCAATGCAGTTTCTTGCCACTAGGACATCAGAGCTTGCCAAGGATTTCTATTTTGTTTATGATGCATACCTTCTATAGTGTCCTGAATATGTTCACCATCCTCGGGCTTAAAGAAACTTACCTCTTCTGCTGCTGCCTCTGAAAGCAGACCTTCTTTCTGGGCACAGGTCACATGAAAATAGGCTCTGCACATGCCCGCATCACAGCTAATGCAAACTCCAGTTCTAGCAAAACGAGGGTCTTCACAAAAGCTACACTCCTACAACAGAATATCAGAAAGATTTATCAGAGAAAAAGTAATTCTAGTACACCAAAAAAAGCATTTAGGAAATATTAAATGGGGCTAATACTTACTAATAACCCTTTCTATGTATTTCTTTCATTGCCACTGAGTCTTAACTTACTCATAGTTTAACGTCCCATGTGTTTGCAGACACTGTAAATCACTTAAGAGGAGACTCTCCATCTTTATCCCACAGAGCAGCTGGAGGATTTGTCCTTACTGCCTCGGGTTGACAATGCAAGTTCTTACTGACTAGGGCACCAGAGTTCCTTTCTGTATTTAAAACTTTAAACAAATTCACATGGAGCACAAGGAAGGAGTCAGAAGAAAGGGATATAAAGATATGGAATGTGCAGTTAATTGTCTCCATTAAAACAGTCACATTTTAAACCATAAGAACCAGATAGGACCTGTCTACCATTACCAAATATTTTGACCAAAGAGTCAATAAAAGAATGTGACAAAAGAAAGGGGGTGAGAAAATCACCAAGAATTTCAAATACTCATGAATTCCAGATTTTCTGGAGAAATCATTGAAACTACTGCTCTAAGAAAATCTTTAAACTTTAAGTCAAAAATATCCTCTCAAGTCCTAAAAACTAAACAAAAGTTTAATTACTGGAAAATGTCTACCTCAAACATCATGCTCATTCAAGAACTCTGTCTAAGAGAGCAAAGTGACAAAAACAACTTGAAATATTAGACAGGTGACTAAGAAGTGAGGGAGTTTACATTACTGTGGAAGAACACCTCAAAAAAGAAAAGAATGAATGACTATACAATTTGAAGAATAAAGTCAATATCACTAACTTGTTCTTTCAGACAAGGCAGAAATGGTCTATACTTTGTTGTGTATATTCTAAATGATAATGAAATAAATTTAAAAAATAAGTAAATGAAGTGCTAAAGAAATGGTGAACCTATGTCAACCAATATTGAGCCAGTAGTACATCAATGCACAGTAACTAGGAAAGTAAAAAACTGAGATGAAAACGGTATTATCACTGACATAATGATATTAATAACAGCAAATATTGAGGACTTAAAATATGTCATCTGCTATTCTAAGCACTTTATCTATTAATCTATGTATTTATATCCATAACTACAGTGTGGAAGAGGAGCTCTGGTGGCCTAGTGGCAAGAAGCTGCACTGCAATCATGGAGGCACATGGTTCAAGGCCATCAGCTGCTCCACAGAACAAAGATGGATAATCTTTGATGATTAATTGCCTCTGAAAACCTGTCAGAAGGTCAGCTATGGGTCACTTCCGACTCAATGGAACACAACAACAACAGTGTGGAAAGTTTTATATTTATCCTCATTATATAAGTGCAAAAAGTGTGATGAATTCAGGAAACACAAAGGAGGAAGAATAGCTGTTAAGTAGACACGGTTGTTGTGTTATGTGCCGTCGAGTTGCTTGCGACTCATAGCGACCCTATGTACAACAGCTCTAAACTCTAGTGACTGGAAAATGGAATGTGAGAATCATGAATGTAGGAAAATTGGACATTGTTAAGAAAGAAATGGAATGCATAAATATTGACATAGTAGGTACTGGTGAAGCGAGATGGCTTGGCATAGGACATTTTGAATCAAATGATCACATGATCTACTATGCCGGGGATAAAAAGGTGAGGAAAATGGGGTTGATTTCATAATTTAAAAAGTCATTTCTAGATCAATCATGAAATACAATGTGGTGAGTGACAGGATAGTATACATACGCATATAAGGAAGTCCATTCCAAAGAAAGGTGAAACAACAGAGTGCAGAAATTTTTGAACAATATTATTAATATCACATACTAGCAAGGTTCTGAAAATTATCCAAAACAACGAGAGCAACCCGTCAACAGAGAACTGGGCAGTATGGCATATTATAGCTAATGTTAGATGGATCTTAGCAGAAAGCTGAGAGTGCCAGAGGAACATCTGTGTTTCCTTGATTACGCAAAGGCTTCTGACTGTGTGGATCACAAAACTGTGTGGCTGACTCTGAGAAGAATGGAAATCCCAGAACATTTGATTGTGCTTATGCGAAACTTATTCTTGTACCAAGTGGCAGTTGTAAGAACAGAGGAAGGAGGTACTGCATGGTTCAAAATTGGGAAGGGTATCCACCAGGGATGTATTCTGTCCCCCTACCTTTTCAATCTGTGTGCAAAACATATCATCCGAGAGGCAAGGCTGTATGAGGAAGAATGTGACATCAGGATTGGAGGAAGATTCATCTGTTATGCAGATGACACAACCCTGCTTGTTTAAACTGCGGAGAATGAAGCGCCTGCTGCAGAAGGTCAAGGACTGCAACCTCCAATATGGATTGAAGCTCAACATCAAGGAAACAAAGATTCTCACCACTGGGCCAACTGGCAGCATCATAATGGATGGCGAAGAGATTGAGATTGTTAACAGTTTTAGTTTGCTTGGCTCCGCAATCAAGACTGTTGGCATCAGCAGCCAAAAATCAAGAGACGAATTGCATTAGGAAGTCAGCTGCCAGGGGACTCTCCAGAGTACTGAAGAGCAATGATATCAGGCTTGAGACCAAGGTGTGCCTGATCCAGGCCATAGTGTTCATAATTGCGTGCTATGCATCAGAGAGCTGGACAATGACTAGGAATGATAGGAAGAGAATTGACGCCTTTGAGTTGTGGTGCTGAAGAAGAGTGTTGAATAGACCATGGACTGCTAGGAGAACAAACAGGTTCATCCTGGGGCGGGAGAAGCCAGTCTGCTTCTTGGAGGAAAGGATTCTGAAGCTTTGTATGACATACTTTGGGCATCTTGCAAGGAAGGACCAGTCCTTGGAGAGGGACATCATGCTTGGGAGCGTGGAGGGACAGTGCAAGAGAGGAAAACCCTCAATGAGATGGATTGATTCCACGGCGGGGGTAATGGGAATAGCTGTGGCAAAGACAGTGAAGTTGGCACAGGATAAAGCAGAGTTTAGGGCTCTTGTACATAGGGTTGCTAAGAGTTACAAGCGACTCAACGGCACATAACAACAACAACAACACAAAAATAATACAGGAAGTACCGGAGAGTTGGGATTCATTCTAAAAAAATCTTACTTCAAACTCACTTTCTTAACCATTAAGCTATTCTGCCTCTTGGACAATATTTTTTGTAAACAAAACAAATAAGAAAGTAGAGAAAATTCACTGAAATGTCTAGGCATTGCAGTCATAAATTCTCATTTTTAATTTTTAAAATATCTTTTAAAAAACTAAAAGCACTCTGAAGTAAATAATTTGATGAAATCTGTAGCAGTGCAAAACATAGCTCATTATTCATATTCTTTCTATACAGGAAGAGGACAAAAAGGTCAAAATATAAATTGCTGTATTAAAATCTTCCCCCACTCAGGTGATTTTTAATCATTTACATTATCTTTATAACAGAAAAGAAAAAACAAAAACCTAGTCTCAAAATACTTTGCTACTTTGCTAATATGAATCTTCACAAAAGAAAACTTGTTCAATTATAATCTTCACAATTCTACAGTAGATAATTCAGAAAGAACTTATAATAAATATGTACTACATAAATAAATTTGAGAGAAACCTGTAAGGAAAATACAAAGTAGTTTCAGTAGATATTAAAAATATAGTTTTCATATTACAATTAAGTAACTACCTACTGAATAGACAGCAGCTTAAATATTGGCAATACATAAAAATCAAAGGAACAGGCGAGCTCTGGTGGCCTGGTGGCAAGAAGCTATACTGCAATCCCAGAAGTGCATGGTTCAAATCCACCAGATGCTCTGCTGGAGAAGGAAGGACAATCTCCTCCTGTACCAGTCAGATCTGATTTGACAGTACACATAAAAAAAAAAAAAATATTTAAAAATAAAATTAAAAAAAAAAGGAAGGAACAGTACTGAGTGTTTACATGAAAAGATTCTCAAATCTGGCATCACTCTTCAGCTAAGGGGCTCTAAATTGTAAAAGTAGAATGTGTATTGTATTAAATAACAGCAAATACTAATATTTTTTTAAAAAGGGGGGGGAAAGGAGGAGAAAGGAAATAGAAAAATTAAAATTACTTAAAAGATATCATCACAAAATGCTTATAATAGTTTTCTAAGTGTACAATTTAATGTAGATGATGAAACTGAGCACAAAGTTTCCAAGTTAACATAAGGAAAAATTTCCTGGTACCAAAATCTATTAAGTTACACAAAAATGTACCAAAATAAAGTGGAATCTTCCTCAACTGCCTAAATTATGGAAAATGTCTGTGAACTAAGCAACTGAGAATACAGGAAAGAAAATAATCAAGATTGCAAATTGTGTAGAAAATGTGATCTAAGAAGAGCTGTCCCAGTTATAACTCACAATTCTGATTTTGCAGATGAGCTAGAAACTATATAAGCTCACTATATGCCTGGCAATGTGCTAAGGCCAATGAAGTAATTTGCCCCCACAGCGTATTCTAAATTAAGGATACATTGAAGAATTTACATATTCTTGGCTTTCTAGGAAAACTACTATCAAGGATAGATGGTTCTAAGCACTAATTTTTCCACAAATAGTATAATCATAAGTGAGCTATTCTATAACAAGCAGTATTCTTAATAAAACCCATATAAACTACTATGTGAAATCTCTCTCTTTCACAGAATTAGAAAAGCTCTCTCTCACCTTGGCACCATATTTGGAATAGTTCATTTCTGTCAGTGTTACTGGACGTAATTTGTCAATATCTCCAAAGGCTACTCCCGGAACATACAGGGCACAAACAATGTGAACCCATCTATAAAGAGAAGATAGGATTTTGCCATCAAACACTTCTGAGAAATTCCCACATAGAGAATAAATATACCAAAAAATGTCACATCAAAATATCTTGAAAGTGAATTTTTACAGATCTTAATAATCTCACAGACACATGGATAAAGAATACATGAAACCAACAGAAAGATAACATTTCACTACAGAAAGAAGACTGTCATCCACATCACTTTTCTAGCAGTTCAGCAAAAATGAAGTTAACCGTAATTATCTTTCACTGAAGATTGACTCTACTATGTACATCTCTATTATCCTTAAATATTTGCATAAAGTACTATTCAAATGAAACAAAACATAATTTTCATATTCACAGAAAGGCATTCACATTCATTATTTTAAGCACTCTAAAAATTAAATATTCTAGTTGAAGAACTATTAAGCTGCTATTCTGAAATAATTAGACAAAGCTGCTCTTTCTTTTCACTTTTCAAAAGGCTGTTGAGCAACCCTTAACAACATATTTTAAAGTAAAATTTTGGAGTATCGCTAGGCTTTCTTTCTTCCAAGGTAAGAACAGCTGCTTGAAGACTGTAAAGAAAAAAACTGTAACAACATTAGGAAATTTCCCTCTATTCATCGTATAGTCTACAACTTCCACGTCACTCACTCATAAAATATTTATGTAAAGTGTGAATGATGCTGAATATTAAACAAAAAATGTTTAGAGCTTCAGTGAGCTAAAAAGAAAATAAATGGGCTTTGGTCATGATTTTATCTTTTTTTAAAAAAAAAAAGAACAGTACTTTTTTCACTACTATAGGTCTATTTTCAGTTTGGTTATAACTAAATAAAACATGAGCTAATGATTTTAAAATTTAAGCAGCAGACATATATGTAACAAAGGAGGTAAAAATGAGATGGCAAATGACTTTTGAATTTAAATATTTTAACAACAAATTCTGCTTTATTAAGGCAAAAGGCTGTGTAGTGTGTGATGTACTATGAGTGTTAAAGGAATAAGGCTAATAATCATTTTTATAGCCGTACTGGGGAAAACAGTTACATATCTTTAAAAATTACCTCTTTATTAGAGAAAAAGAAAACTTAAAGTTTTCTTTTGAGATTTTCTTGATAGAATGTTTTAATCCAACCTCCCAAATGCATCCTGTGGAGTTCAATATAAAGATACACATCTTCAACAAGCAGCTGCTTTCTCAATTTAGTGTGCACAGGTTTTTCATGCTCCACTGGTGTATTAAATGCTGTTATACTCTGTAGGAGTTTATCTTTGATAAGCCCAACAGCTGGCTGTTTGCTTCATGCTGACCTTCTTAAAATGCTTTAGTACATGGACCTATAAGATGATGTCAACCTAGGTCTTTATTAAATGTGTATTGTGAAATTCACAGTACAGATAGATAATTTTGGTCCTTTTTAAGAACAGCTCTAAATCATTCTCTTTTCATTTGTTTAGTTTTATATACTTTAGAAAGTAATAATTAAGGAAAATTTAATAATCAAAAAAGAATAATCATTCTTGTTACATTACTGTCCATTTGCTCACAGCTAAGATGGCAGATGTTGACTAGGAAAAAAAACTAAAAACAAGGACCACATAAACCCACCAAAAATAAAGCGATAGAATTATCATTCTGACACAAAAATTAATAGATTTTTAAAACTCATATATTTTAATAAAGCAGACAAAGTATAAAGATAATTCTCAAAAGACTCTAACTTTAGAATGGAAACTATTAATAAAATTTGATTTTTCTACTGCCTGCTATTTGAAAATACTAGGCATAGTACCTTTTACAGACCTATAAAATAAATTCACTTCCAGTATGTAACTTATTCTTTCATTGAGGCCTGTGCGACCAACTTCTAAAATAGTTATCATGCACAAAGTACCATGCAAGAAGTTTGTAAATTATAAAACACTTATAGCATAACATCTGATATTTTGTCTTCACTCAAAAGAAATAAGCTATAAGGAAAAAGAGAAAGCACTTGAAGCAATAATTTTCAAAAGTATTATACGGGGAAAGCTAGAGAGCATGCATTATGTTGAGTGAATTAAGTCAGGCATATATGAAAATATTCTGTATAAGACCATTATTGTAAAAAGAAGCATAACCAGTGAAGTGTGCATGGATATGATATACAAAGAGGGAAGGGGATGGGACAGGAAGGCTGAGGGTAGGGAAGGGGGAATCACTGGATCACAGAATTTGGTGGGTGAGTGGAAGAAGGGAAAAAAAAACCCCAAAACACCCACCAATGTACACGAGTGAAACACAATAAAAATAAAGGAGGGAGGAGAAAGTAGCTGTAAAGGAGTTCACCCAAGGACCACAATAAATCCATCAGAAGCTGTGCACCACCATAAATCAATCGAAAGCTGTGTTAACATGACGCTCCAGTGGAAAGGATATATACTCTTATGTAAGATAAAGAGAGGTTCAGTTCTATTCTAACCCATTTATAGTCTGAGTCTAATAAAACTGTTTCTTTAAAAGAAATGAAGACTCAAAACGCTTCCTGAAAATCTGTCATTCTCACTATGCATATTAAAAACATAGATTGAGAAATAAAAATCATTTCCAAAGATAACAAGTGATAAACTAAGGCAAAGAATTCAATGTTCTCTTTAATTGTTGCTGATTACCTTCTAGTCAAACACGACTCATAGTGACCCTATGAACAAAAGGCCTGAAGCCCCTCTACAACTATCGACATTTATCAAAGTTCATAGAGTTTCTGGAGGCATGTTGTTTAGGAAGTAGATGCCACTCCTGCTTCCAATCTCTTTAATGATACAATGCTGATTTATAAATTGAAGAATTTAACTCATGTTGATGTTGTTATTATGTGCCGTCAAGTAGCCACACTAGATACAAACAGCCCTAAAATCTGCTCAACCCTGTGCCAACTTTACTGTCTCTGATACACCTACCCTCATTATCCCAGTCACTGTATCAATCCCTCTCACTGATAGTCTCCCTCTATTTTTCCATCCCTCCACTCCTCCAAGCATGATGTCCCTCTCCAAGGGCCAGTCCCTCCTTACAGCATGCCCACAGTATTGTCAGATGAAACCTCAGAATCCTTGCCTCCAAGGAGCAGGCTGGCTTCATCCTCTCTAGGACGAACCTGTTTACTCTCCTGTCAGTCCATGGAATATGCAACACTCTTCTCTAGCACCACAGTTCAAAGGCATCAATTCTCTTTCTATCATCTCTAGTCACTGTCAAGCTCTCTGACACACAGCAAGCAACTGCAAAGACTATGGCCTAAACCAGGCACACCTTAGGCTCCAGACCGACACGACATCATTGCTCTTCAGTATTCTGGAGAAGTCCCTGGCAGCTGACTTTCCCAATGCAATTTGTCTCTTGATTTCCTGGCTCCTAATACCAAGAGTGTTAATTGTGGAGCCAAGCAAACTAAAACTGCTAACAATCTTAATCTCTTCACCATCCATCACGATGCTGCCAATTGGCCCAGTGGTGAGAATCTTTTGTTTACTTGGTGTTGAGCTTCAATCCATATTGAAGGCTGCAGTCCTTGACCTTCTGCAGCAAGAGCTTCAGGTCCTCCTCAGTTCAGCAAACAAGGGTGTGTCATCTGCATAACACAGGTTGTTGATGAATCTTCCTCTAATCTCCCTCCAATCCTGATGCCACATTCCTCCTCATACAGCCCAGCCTCCTGGGTGATCTGTTCTATATAGATTGAAAAGGTAGGGGGACAGAACACATTCCTGGCGGACACTCTTCCCAATTTTGAACCATGCTCCTTCCTCTGTTCTGACTACTGCCTCCTAGTCCAAGTATAGGTTTTGCATAAGCACAATCAAGTGTTCTGGGATTCCCATTCTTCTCATAATCAGCCACAGTTTGTTGTGAGCCATACAGTCAAAGGCCTCTGCATAGTCAATTAAGCACAGATAAATATTCCTCTGGTACTCTTTGCTTTCAGCCAAGATCTATCTAACATTAGCTATAATGTTTCTAGTACCGTGGCCTCTTCTAAAGCCAGCCTGTTCATCTGGCAGTTCTCTGTTGACATGCTGAGATTTGGGACAATTTTCAGCAGACTATTGCTTGAATGGAATATTAATGATATTGTTTGGTAATTTCCCCACTCTGTTGGGTCACAAGAGATTTAGTGACACCCAACAAAGAACATAAAGAAATATGTGTAATACTTGCCCATATCAGATTTATGAGACCTTTTAAGAGAAGGTAAAATATTCCCCTTGAGTAGTGAAATAGAAATTTAAGAACAAAAATGTACTCAAAGTTTTTTCATATTAAATCACTTTTTTCTTTTTTGCTAGAACTTGTGGCTCCCATCAGCACACACATATCTGGTTAATAAACCCATGTGATCAAAGTCAATTTCAGAACTTGTAAAATTTTCTACTTATATTAACTCTTTCTATTCCCCTGTTTTCCACTGGACAATGTATTTGTCAAATCTTGGTTTCTGTGCCTTGAATCAAGCTAGTATTCTATCCTATAAAATATATTAGTAATATGGGCAATATTTCCTCAATATTCTAGGAGTGTGGTCATAACACAAATAAAATGTTAAAATCATATAAAAGAATTTTTGCTAGATTGTTTTAAGGAAGGTGTGGATAAATATCCACAGCACTCAATACAAACATCTCTCAATCATTCTCTACATAGCTAAAGAGGTCTCTCTTTACTCAGGAACAATTTTCTAAGTTGCTTTGTTCATTATGATGGCGTGAAGAGACAATTGCTTTATAGGTTTTCAAAAGAACTGTCAAATGAATAAGCAAAAGTAAATATAATAAACAAAAAATCTAAATTTCTTCACTAAAAAGAAGGGTTCGGTTTTCAGAAGTAGCCTTACTTGTCAAAATATAGCTTCAAAAACTTAACTCTCACAACTGAAGAGCTACAGGGAGGAATTTATGCAGACTATACTAAAACTACCTAATAAATTACTAAAGGATTATTGTTAAAGTTAAAGTACTTATAGAAATACCAGGAGCAGTAGTAGAAGACATTTATAAAGAATTTATTATATTCTAGAACTTGTACTCACTGTTTCACGTCATTTAATTCTCTCAACAGTGCTAAAGACACTAAAGCACCGAAGAGTTTAATCACTTGCCCAAAATCTATAAGTATAGATCAGAATGCAGACACAGGCTGTCCACTCTTAAAGCACACACTCTTAATATTATGCTAAACACTGTAATTCCAGGCCCAAATATAGCAAAATATAAAATAATGCCAATTTCTGTAATGTACACTACACCTTCCTCTCAATATAAGAAGTAAAAAGATAAGGCCTCAGGCCTTTTGTTCACAGGGTCGCTATGAGTCATGCGCAACTCAAAAGCAATCAATAACAACAACAACAATTCTATTTTATGGCTGGAAAATGAGAAAGACCTAAGATTTGGGGCCATTTTTCTTGTACATTGGTTAGTCAATATTCTAAGGAAGATTCTGTTATTATTTCTATATTATTTCTTTCCAAGAATCTGTCTTACAGTCAAGGCAAATTTGAGAAAGATAAACAATGCTTACAACAGTAAAATTTGCTACATTAAAAAACCCCTCACAAACCCAAGTTTATCTTCTAGAATAAAAACACTTAAGGCCAGGAGGGATCAGTCCTTGGAAAAACATCATGCTTGGAAGAGTGGAGGAAAAGTGTGGGGCACGAAGATCCAGGATCTGACTTAGATGGACTGACTTAGTGACTGGAGAAATGGAATTAAGTCTGTTGGTGACAATTAAATTGGCTCCGGATAGGGCCGGGTTCAGGACTAATATGAGTCACAGGTGACTCAATGCCATGTAACAACACACCTCACTTTTATGGTTAAAATTTTGGAAATAATAGTGATAATTTATTTAAATTGTACTATGGTCACTCTAGGAAGACTAGAGAGTCTGCACAGGAGAGAAAGGCCCTGGATGAGACAGATCGGCACTGTCACTGTAGCAGTGGGGGCAAATGAGTCAGAGATGATGAGATTGACTCAGGATAAGGCAACATTCATAGCTATTTTCATAGGATCACTATGAATGAAGTCAACTTGACAGCATGTAACAGCAACAACAACATGGTCACTATTGTGAAAAATTAAAACGTGTAAGAAAAATACTGAACAATTCTTTGTTGTTGTTATGTGCTGTCGAGTCGCCTGCAACCCATTGCAACTCTGAGTGCATCAGCTCTGAAGCCTGTTCTGTCCTGTGCCAATCTCATTGATTCTGACACACCACCTCCCTTTGCCCCAGTTACTCATCAATCCATTTCATGCAGGGTCTTCCTCTCCTTAGCAAAATAAATATCAGAATAAGCATTATAATGGAAAAGAGGGAGTATGCTACACATATAAAAAAGTTAAAAAAAATTACTCCTCTGTTTTGTACACCGACCCTAAAAATAGTGTCCTGGTTTTTTTAAAGTCAAAGATGTCAACATCATTCCAATAACAAATATTCAAATGTGACAATGTGAACTGAATAAAAAGTCTTTTTTTTCTAGTTAACAATTTATTTCCATTTAGTTCCAAATTTATCCTTCACTATCTGCAAAAAAAATGAACACAATTTCTTTAGTATTTCTCCATTACAGTGAGCATCCTATTAGGTTTGCTCAGTCGAGGTTGGTAAAGGGATACTGTAGGAAGAAGGGCTTTTGATCAGGTTGAAGGGAGGATATCCACTGGTGCTCTGCTCCAGCCACATGCACAGTCCTTGAGAGGCCTGGCCCTCAGTCTAGTCTTGTCGTCACTTTTCTTTGGTCCTCTAAATACCAATATTGCATAAGCACTTTAACTCCTTTTGCATGCCCGCACCCAAGCACATATTTGTCAGAAACTGCCAACCAGTCTCAGCAGGTAAAACCAGCAACACACTTCTCTGTCATCAGAAACTCACTGCAACTGAGTCAGTTCTAACTCAGTTACTCTTTATTGGGCTTTCAAGGTTGTAAAGTCACAAAAGGAGACTGTCCATCTTTCCCCCAAGGAGCTACGACTGGTGGATTTAAACCACCAGAAATATGTAACTTGTCAGTAAGCAGCACACCTTTCTAATAAATACACCACCAGAGCTCCCCATCTGTCATCAAGTCATCTGCAATTACACTTTCTCTAAACTTTGGTTTTACAGAGGCAGTCATTCTTTCAAGTGTGTCCTTACTCTCATACTCTCTCCCTCAGGACTAGAATATCCTTTGGAATATTTTATATACAGTTAATCTTTTTCTCATAGCTGAATAATCCTTTATATTAAATTTCTTCTTTCTAAATAATTTATGAAGTTCTCTTGGTCCTCTAAATAGACCTGGTTGTTGTTGTTGTTGTTATGTGCCGTCAAGTCGTTTGCGACTCATAGCGACCATATGCACAACAGCCCTAAACCCTGCTCTA